AGGACCAGACTGACCCAGAAGGACCAGACTGACCCAGTAGAACCAGACTGACCCAGTAGAACCAGACTGTAATATCGTCCTTGTTCCTTATGAACTCCAGGTGCTGTCTGAAAACTACCTGTATTCGTAGGTACTTGGCTACGTAGCGGATGACCTGGTCGTCGTCGTCGGGTCCAACCGCCAGAACTCGCTCCACCAGAACCTCCGCCTCCCGGTGTTTGTGTTGGTGTACCAGCTTCAGAGCCAACATGGACATCAGGACGCCGTCGTCGGGGCAGAACTTTACGGCTCGGCGGAGCTGTTTGGTTGCCGGTGACTCTTCAGGAGTCGCTCCTAAAGCGTCCTGCAGATCAGATCACACGCATCAGTGGTTCTGATCAAATCCTGAACAGATCACTCATGGATCAGCTGAAGGTTTGACCCGCTCATGTGGGCAGAACCTACAGCTGAAGTACTGATCGTCTGTTGTCTGATCGTCAGCCTGAGACAGAAAAACAACAAACAGGCTGAAGAACGACGACAAACTAAACAGAGAGCCGAAGGTTCCACCAGAACCGAACCACAACCAAACGCTTTGTGGTTTGGTTTGAAAGTGAAAAACAAAAAAAGAGAGAAAAGGTTTATTTAATGTAAAGACAAGTAAGTGGGTCCATCAGAACAGAACCAAAATCCAAATATGGGCCTGTTTTCTCATTCTTGGTTTAAAACAAACAAACTAAACTGGACCCAAGAACAGGTGAGAAAGAGGCCCGTTGTTCTGTTCCAGTTCCTAACCAAGAAAGAAAAACACTTTGATTGATTTGTTTTTACTTTTTGTTTTAAACTTTAAACTTTCTGTTTGTTTTTTGTTTAACAGAAGAATGAGAACCAGGCCCGCTTCCTCATGGTTAGTTTCAAACGGAGCTACGAAGTCGCCCTGGGGAACCGGACCAGCGAAGGTTCTGTGCGGAACAGAGCGATGGCGTAGCCGGCGTTCCACTCCCAGCTGTCGGGCTGCAGCTGCAGGGCTCGCTGGAAACACTGGCCGGCTTCCTGGTACAACGACTTGGAGAACTTGAGCAGCGTCCAGCCCTTCTCCCCCAGAACCTCAGCATGGAGCTCAGCAGAGGAGCCGCAGGGATGCTGCACCTGCACACAGGTCACACCTGATGACATCATCTACCTGAGACACCGTAAAGGGCCATTCACACACCGTGTGTGTCTGTNCACTACAGTCACAGATCCCATCAGCAGTGTGTGTCTGTGTGTGTCTGTGTGTGTTACAGAGACACTACCACCCGGTTGTGCGTCGCTTCGCGGTCCACCTGAGTCTCGGAGCTCCCAGCGACGGTTCCGCGGCGCTCAGTGTGGATCTGAGCCGCAGGTACCGACTGTTGTTTTACTAAACAGAACCTCCTTCAGAACTCGTGACTAGAATCTAAGCATGTGGTTCCTGTGCAGGTCTCCGGTGGAACTGTTCCACGACTACAGCGTCAGAGACATGACCTTTAACCCCCCTGTAGCTCCGCCCGCCTCCAAGAAGAAGGTGAGAGCATCAGACGCACCCTGGAGGTCCAACTGAAAGGTTCCTTCAGGTCTGATGGTGGGTCTCAGGTGTTTGGTTGCGGTCCGGAGGCGTTAAAGCACCCGGCAGCTGCTTTGTTCTGAAAACGTGGTGAGAACGTCCTGAGCACTAGTTGTCTTTCGTTCCTAGAGCGTTCTTCTGAGAGGCAGGGTAGAGTTCCCTAACAACACCCTGAGAACGTTTGAATGTTGCCGTGGGAACGTCCTTCCTGAGCTTCTGACGGCGTCTCCGTCAGATCCGGTTTCCTCTGATGTAAACACAGAACTCCTCATCATCACTGTTATCTGTACTTTAACAGCAAACTGTTCGAGGATTTGCAGGGAAACGTTAGGTTTCACTTGGAACGTTCTTTAAACGTTCTTTCATCAATTAGCTTGTGGTTGTTTCTTTAAAACACTATCAGAACCTGTCGGGAACGTTGTGGGAATGTTCTCTGCTGTCTGGACAGACGGTTCTTTGATAAGTTCTGTGATTTGGGGAAGGTTCTGAGAACTGAAGGTCTCGTGGACGTCATCAGCCTGTTGTTGTTCTTCAGGACCACTTCCTGGTGGGGACGTCGCTGCTGGACGCTGAGCTGCAGAGACGAGTGGACGACGTCCTGAACACCACCGAGGACACACAACTGGACTTCACTGCAACACGACCACACAGAACCAGCCAGCAGTGACACCAACACAGCTTCATGTTGGTTCTGAACTCTGCTCTCTTGTGTGGATGGTTTCTGGTTCTTTCTGGTCACAGAATGTTTTTTATTCCTTGCAGTTGTTTTCGGTGTTTTCGTGTTCAGGTTCTGTTCATTAACGGAACTCGGGTTCAGTAGAACCCGGTGACAATAAAAAGATCCTGGATATGTGAAACCTGTAAGTCTGTTTATTGTGAGTGTGGTTTGGATTCAGAACACATTCTGTGACATTTATCACATTCAGAACTTCCTCCTGTGGATCCTTCACCTGTCCTGCTCCCAGAACCCACCTGGTCGCGGCCGTGGCCAGACTCAGCTGCCTTCAGTCTGATAAAAACACACTCCTCCAGTGTTCGGTTCCTTCAGAACTCGGACCGGTTCTGTTCCTTCACCTTCACACACCTGTCCACCTGAGCTCTGCTCTTCTGTCTGCAGCACCACAGCGCCCCCTGCTGCTGCCGCGGAGCATCACTGTAGCTGCGACTTCCTGCTTTAGAGGTTCCACCTGGAATAGGACCGGTGATGTCAAAGGCTGACTTCAGGAGGATTCCAGTCAGAGGACGACTTCATGTATTTATGGTTTTAAAGTTATTCCACCCAAACAGAAGTTTCTAGCAAATTATGGATTTAAAGGTTTTTGTACAAGTCCTTGTAATTTAAAGGTTAATTCCACCCGAGTGCTACTCCCTACATCTCAGGCTCTGGTTTTAAATCAGTGGGCACCTACAGTACTACTTTCTGTCTGTCCAGCTTGGTTACTGAGACCAGGGTTGATCAGGTCAAATAAGGACCTGACTCTGGATCTGAGGCCTGAGAGGTCGCACAGAGAACAAATCTCTATTTTCTATAGATTATTAATTAAAGCAGCAAGGCTCCCTCCATAAAGAAATAAAAGTGGAAACCTCTGAACCACCGCTGAAGATCTGCGACGCATTAACGAGTCAACAGGTGAAGCAAGTGAACCACGCTGACATGTGGAGAGCTTTCATCAGCACCAGGTTTAATCCATCATCACCAACATGCACCACACATACAAGCTGATATGAAGCGACGTCAGCTGGTCCAGGTTCATCCAAATGAGTTCAAAAGTGCCCACATTTAAACTAACTTGTCCAAAACGTCTTAAAACTCGTCTAAAATTAGGTCAGATCATCTAAAGTGAATCAAAACTTCTCCAGAATGATACAGAACATGTTTGAAATGAGTTAAGCTTGATATAGAAACACCTGAAACCTGTTGGAAGCAGACTGTCTGATGTCTTTGACTAGAATGAACTGAACGTTTTCCAAAACCAACCTGGACCCTGAGCGTCCAGTCAGAGGAGCTCAGACTCGGTTCTCCTCGTGCAGCTTTCTCCGACCTGATGCTAACAGTTTATTGAGAGGTTCTTGTTACGTTTGTGTTATGCTCTTGTTGTGTTGTGTTTTGGTTCCGTAGAGATGAAGATGCTGCTGCAGACTCAGTCCAGCTGCAGACGGAGCTCACACAGAACCGACAGGTACTCGGTGTTCTCGGCGTCTCTCTGCAGAGCTTTCTCGTAGAACGTTGCCGCCCTCCTGCAGTCGCCCTCAGCTTGGGCCACGTATCCCAGAATGCCGTAGGAGGCGCCGTCTGCTGGGTTGTTCCTCAGACGCCGCTCCGCCATCAGCTTCAGCTTCTGTGGAGGAACATCTGAAGGTTAGAACCTGTTTCCTGGCTCACAGCTTCAGTTCTCAGCTGGGTTCTTTCAGATCAAACTGTGATCAGTGATTTCACACAGAAAGGTTCCATCTGGAACCAGAGACTCTGGTTCACTGTGACGCAACAAAAGAACCATTTTTTACAGTGGAATCGCAAAACAAATTTACAAGTAAAATCAACCGGAAAGGGAACGTACCGGCTCTGGGACTGGACCAGAACTGGTCACGGGGAGCGACCAATCAGAGCTGCTGTGTTCATTTATGGAGTTCATGGTGACCCAAGATGTGTGGCTCCCACATGAGCAGATTAACGCGGTTTTGTTTCTCGTGTGGTCGGTCTTTAGAATTTTTCAGGGGACCAGATGTGCTGCAGCAGATGTTTTAATGAGGGACACTCGGACGCTGTGACGACGACGTGATGTCGTGTTCACGCGATGTTCACATCAGCCTGAGGTCTGAATGAAGCCGGCTTGTAGCCCCGTTAGTCGGCTCATGTGTCCCTCTGTCGCTGTCCATGTTGGGTCACCATGAACTCCATAAATGACAACAGCAGCTCTGATTGGCCGCTGCCCGTCACCACCTCCGGTCCAATCCCAGAGTCGGTACCTTCTCTTTCCGGTTGATTTTACTTGTAAACTTGTTTTGCACTTCCCGGCCACCGTAACTTTTAGTTCCACAAAGAAGCTTCTGGGAAGAAGCCCTTCAGCTACGTATGTCTTCAAACTGTTCTATGAAGCACCGGTGGGGATTCTGTAAAGAACTGTTTGAAGAAATACGGAACTAAAGAACCGTAAAAATCACATCATTAGATGTTCATAAAGGCACCATCTGAAAAGGGTTCCTTCATGAACCATAAGTAGCACTCCAAAGAACCACCCACCTGGTTCGGTAAAGAGCCTGTTTTAAATGGTTCCTCAGTAAGTTCACTAAATGAATGGTTGTATGAGCGTTTCAAGTCTAACTATTCTGTGCAGGTTAAAAGAATAGAACACAAACTATCTGTAGATGAGACAAACACAAAGTCAGTCGCAGTGAGGAGAACATAGAACGTAAAACCAACTAACGTGTGGCTCCAAACTGAAAACTATAAACCCAGACTGGTCTGACCACATGACTGAGCTGCAAATGTAAGAAGCATTTCTGGGTTCCTTCCATCAGAACACATTCCTTATTTCGGGTTCTTTGTCAGACAGAACAAACTGTGATGAACCTTTCTCTGTTTTCTGAGGTTGTATCGACCAAATGATCCATCCACAATGAAGCAACATTCAGCTGCAGCTCTGATTTCATGCTGTTCGCTGCCAAAGAACTAAAGAACTCCAACAAACATCAGAGACCTTAAAAGAACCACATCATGAAGAACCGGCCCCTAAATAAAGAGGTTCTTCAGCTGGTGATGGAGCTCTGAGGAACCTTTACTTTCAGGCAGCAGCAGTGACTGACCTTCGCACAGTGTTTCCCGTCTGATGTTTTGGCGCTGAACTCCAGAGCCTGTCAGACACAGCAGAGGGACAAACGCCCACATGACTTTAACACACTGAGCGCTTCAGAAAGAGACTCAGACCTGCGATGAACTGTCAGAAAAACACCAAAGCTGGTCAAAATGACTTAATACGGGTCCAGAGTTAGATAAAA